AGCTGGTCAATAGAATCGATGGGGCAAGAATCCCGTCCCCGTATTCATCTGTTTCATAACCGATTATTGAAAATGCAATTACCGATTATTGATTATAATTACTGATTTTGACCTTTTACTTTTGCGTTATTTCTTCAATACGAACACGTACGGGGTCTTATCGACGCTTTAGCAGTTTAATAATGAGAACGGCAATTCACTCTCCGCGCTGATGGATGACATTGTTAAGAAATTCGCATTCAGTGAGGATAGATCGCGTGCTCTCTTTCTCTCCGACTAAATTATCCCCCCCCCCCCCCCCNGATCGCACTTAAGCGTCCGCGGCTCGATTCCGTCGAAGTTACTAATTAACACAATTAAATTCATAATTAACGTTCCCGACGAACGACATGGAACGAGAAAGAAAAGCGGTCTAAAGGGTGTCCCAAACCCAAACTGTTCTCCGTTCCCATACCTGCACGAGAGCCGACAATGGTTTGGGACACCCTATATATACAAGATGGCATAAGGCGTGTCAACCGTTACATGTAGTTTAGATCAATGTGAACAAAAATGTATCTTTTAAAATTTATCATTTTGTAAATAACGCGCAAATTTTTGAGTTTTTAATTAAATAAGTTTCTATGCGTGGCAATTTTCACTAATAATTAATAATTCAAAATTCGTGTATTGTTTCTAAAATCGGAAAGAACTTTTTTATTCACGCTGACCTAAATCATAAATATCTTTTGAACAATGTATTTTAATGAAAAAAATGTTTTATATAAAAGTTGGAAGGTTTAAAAGGATCTATTTACTGGTCTTCTCACTTTGACCGTGGATAGAGGCGTCAAGATCAAAATGATAAATAAATAAATCCTTTGAAGCCCTCGAAATTTTATGTGAAACATTTTTTTTTAAGATACATTGTTTAAGAGATATTTGAGGTCATTTAAAATGAGACACCCCGTATACTCTTTCTTCTTTTTTTGCACAAACCTATCGCGAGTTTAACGTCGTTATTACGTAGCTCACCTCAACGAGGCTACGCGATACGTGCGAGAAATCTCGCCGAGCAAGTATCTTTATTCACGTACGCATCCAACGAACTAATGTGCAGCTTGGAATCGGGTTGCCTTTGCCGTCGATCCTTGTAAAGCGTATATTTCTGTTGTTGCCACAATCTCACGTGTTCTCCATATCTATTATATAATAACCTAATCTATTATATAAAGGTTATTTTAAGGTTAATTTCATTTTATTAGCGGAATCATATAGTTTCTTTGACGCAAATAAATTTCTCTATTTATTCTACGTACGAAAATACCAGAGTAAGATCATCGATAAGTGAATACTTCATAAGATATTTTACTTTTCACTCTCGTATTTTTCAATATAACATGTGAAATATCTCATAAAGTATTCACTTTACGATAATATTACTTTAACATTTTTGTACGTAGAATGACAGGTGGAATCGATTGCTGTAAATAAACATAGAAAAACCTTAGAAAAAATTTATTGCATTTTGCAAACGCGTCGATGTGCAACTATCATTATCAGTAATCGATTTCTCTCATATCGAAGATATTATTACTGACTATATACATCGAAATTAAGGTCACCAATTTACACCCCCTCTAAATCTTATAATTTTTGTCCGGAACTTTTCTTTTTATTTTGTTTCATTTTTTAAATATATTTCAGCTTTTAAAGTTAAATGCCTACATTAATATTTGCATCTTCCACAACTGACGCAAAATGGTCCGGAAAAATGGGCTTGAATTCATCTAAAACCAAGAAGGCAAAAAGATTCTTTAAAAAATGAGCTTGTCGCTATCGTTGTGCGTTGCGGATTTTTGAATTTCGAAAAATTGCGAAAGTTATGTAAGTTTGTAAGTTAAAAAAAAATCTTGTTTACTTAATTTTTGCCAGTTTTTCGCAGTTTACAATTTAAAAAATATATATATATAAAATCCTACGTGGCGCGTTTGTTTTACAAGTATTTCGTCCGACATCGATCCGATCAATACTTTTGGAGATATCTTGTCCGCCAGCTGGAAAATTACAGTTTCGAGAAAAACGCGATCAAAGATTCTAATATTTTTGAGATGAAATGGAATTTGTTGGGTTTACGTCGACTCAGCAATTCCTGGGCCGTATAGCAACTCCTGCATTACTGTCAACGTGTCCTGGAATTCCGCATTTTCCTGTTTACGTTGAAAACGAGCTTCCGTCGTCGCCTTCCTACGTTCGCGCGTTAACTTCTGCTACGCGGTGGTCATCGATATTCTGTCAATATCCTTACATCTCCTCGCTGGTTTTTGATACCGTTCTTCTAAAATTATATTTTAATAATAATACAAGCTGCACAAGGCTACCGTTAAATAATCGCTATCTTCACCATTTTGTAAGTAGCTCGCAAATTTTGAGTTATTAATTAAAGAAGCCTCTATACATGGCCATTTTCAATTGATAATTCGAGATTTTACGTGTTGTCCGCAAAATAATGATACAGGACTTTTTCGTTCACCTCAATTCATTCTACGCCCTGCGCGTCCCTGTTGCGCGCCATGAAAGTGAGAAGAAGAGGTAATACATCAGCCAGACGTTTGTATACCGATCGGAAATTTTCAACGGGACGTCGCGCGAAAAGGCGCAACCTGCGAGAGAGGGAAGAGAAAAAATATATCGGAAGTTCGATGGATTCACGCGAGTCGGAAAAAAACCGATTGCTATCGACTATGTGAAGTTGTTGAATCCACTGTCACTCGTGTATACTTGACAGTTTTCCCTCCTTTTTTCTAAGCCAGTCAAATTGGATCAACTGGCCGTGTATGTACGAAGTGTGTCAGTGATACGCTAGTCGATAAACAAACTGCCACGCCATGTTTCTGATACAATTCGATCCCGAATAATCGGAATGCATGCTCAATGTTACAGCCGATCGATTTTACCGCCGAGAAAAAACGCGGCTACAACTGTTATTCGTCACTTCGTCAATTTATGCGCTTTCTCAGAAGAAAAGTGTTTGCGTATTTGTAACTATAATTGCATAGTGAAATAATTGCATTCAGGAGAATTATTTTCCTAATAAACGTTACTATATTATTAATGATAATAATCTTATATGTGTGTCGCTAATACTGTCTTTTGATACACTAAAAGAAATATTGATTAAAATCAAACAAATTCCATTCGATTCCAAAGAAATGATTTGCCAAAATTGAACGGTCGACGGAGCCAAGAGTAATAATATGTTTTGATAGTGAGTTTTCGTTTGTTTCTGCTGTCATATCTTCCGTTGTCACGGAGACCCGGTGACGACGCAATCTGCAGCGTAGAGAAGGAAAAAAAAATTAAAACGCAACATTCAAGCGTAATGACGTTATCAGATTGTGATTGTGTGAGTCTTCATCTTTTAGTTGCCGTCTGCAGTGGTTATCATATCAGTCCATCTATTCGTGGAAGGATTAGTTTCAAGCGGAGTTTATTATCGTATTATAGGCCTAAATACGCGCACGGTCATATCTTGCGCTCTTATGTATTTTCTCGTGTTATCGAAACCGACGTTTTCGATACGCTACGACGACGTATATAGTTACAATTAAAAGTTTAATTAATTATATCCGTAGACATATAAAATAAACATATGAGCACATATGACACGTATAAATATTGCCATTTGAGAGCTGAAAGTAAGATCGAGCAGAGGTATTTTAACAGTAATTTTGGTACTTTCTTTGTTACACGGTAGGAGGGAGGGAAAACAGAAGGAAAGGGATGTGTTGAAGAAGAGAGAGAGAGAGAGAGAGGAATAATGTATTTGATATTATGTAAGAAGAAGACACAAATAATATAGCAATATGTGCACTCGTGATTATTAGTTCATGATACAAGGTGTCTATTGTTTGGAAAAACCGGGAATTCTCAGGAAATCTGTTTACGCCTGGAAAACTCGGGGAATTTAACCGGACAATTATCTTTGAGCCATAATATTGCGTTGTTCAGGCAAATATTGTACGATTGATTGAATTTTATTTAATAATATTTTCTTAATTAAGAATCATAGAAAAAAATAATTCGGGGTTTTTTTTATTTGATTTTTAATTCATTTTTATTTTTATCAATAACAAATAGCGCTAAATAAATTGTATTTTATGCGTGAGCTAAACTGCTCTGATGTTTAGAGCACATTGATTTTACAACTAATCCGATATTCAATATTAAAGATAACGATTTCACATTAGATGTAATTTTCAGTTAGTCACTACTTCAGTGGTTCTGTCTGTCTGGTTTCGTTACTTTCTAATGCTGGACTGCGGTTTTTCATTATGTTTACAATTTTTTGTACCGCTGCTGGTACGCTGCTCAGTATGTTTTGCTTTTATTTTAACCTACACATTTATTTTCAATACAAGTGTGCACATATCGTTAAAATTAATGTTCTGTCATCACCGTATCGTCGGTGGACCGCAAAGTGTTAAAGATACGCCGGGACTCGAAGGGTTAGTTGATATTTTGTTTTCTAATCGATATCCCTTCAAGTATTTCATTCGAAATCATTCCTAACAAAGCAAGTAAAACTGTCGCTCACAAATGGGTGAGACGGGGTCTCCTACGCGACGTCCAGATGACATGTCTCAGTCTCGATGTGTTTAAACACAGGCAGAATTCGCGTGTAACGCATGAAAAAAAAAATCGGTGATACTTGTCGGCGAAATTACGACTACAACACGCGGGAATGAAATTAAATTTGGGCCAGCTGTCTGCAAAAGAGGAATGAAAGAGGGAAATATGATTTTTATTTACAACACAATGGGCGGTTAAATAAAAACACGGTTGGCACCGCGTTTACAGCGCAACGATCAAGCGATTATTATTATAATTCGAGCTTAATCCACTTGTCAAGTGAAACCCCTCGTTTTTTCTCCGTCCACCGAATAGAAGCGAGAAACAAAAAAGCAATGCCCGTCGCGAAATCGCCACGAACGCGACTGAACGCAACCTCATTCTTGCAGACAGACTCAGAGCTATGTCAACATCAAGAGCAGCAGCAGCCCGGTATCGCCGAGGACGGTAGGGACGGGGGCGACGTACGTCTCGGGTGGAGCGGCCGCATCCTCTACGGGGACTGCGGGCGCGGCTGCAGCGGCGACCGCAGGTGGCAATGCCGCCGCTGTTGGTGGGCCCTCGATCGCCGTCGTCGCCAGCAGTGGCACCTCCAGTGGCATCGTCAGTGTATCCAACATCATACCGGCCGGTAGCAGCGGGGGTGGTGGCAGCGGAGGAGCGAACAGCGGCGCGAACAGCAACAACAACAATAACAGCGGCGGCGGCGGCGGAGGTGGTGGTGGTGGTAGCGGCGGCGGCAGCGGCGGCAGTGGCGGCAGCGGGGGAGGTGGCAGTGGCGGAGGCAGCGGCCCCGGCGGCAGTGGAACAACCGGTGGAGGTGTCAGCGGAGGTAGCAGCAGCGGCGGCGGTGTCGGCGGAGGCGGCGCGGGCGCAAGTTCGTCTGCGCCCGGTGGCTACGTCGCCGTGCCTATGCCTGGAGGTTTACGCTATATTCATCCCTACCCGCCAACCTCGGTGTCGACGCCGGCGGTCGCCGCTGTGGTCACCACAGCCTCCTCCCAGGCTGTCCCGGTACCTGTGCCGGTGCCCGCGCCCGCCTCCGCTCCCCCACCGACCCACCAGGCGCCCACCATCAGCCAAACGCCGCCGCCGCTTACCGGCACTACTGCCTACGCTGCGAGAGACACGTACCGTGCCGGCACCACGAACGTAGGTATTTTTTCCGTACAAGTGCGAAAAGTATGCCCCCTCACACATGCACGCAATATCTTCTACTTTTCTCCTGCTTTCCTTTCTCCTCTTCTCCACTGTTCTCTTCACCTCTTCTTACCAGGTCGTGGCGATAAGATAACGTTGACTGGAACCTCGATATAACGCCTCGACGCGGCGTCGGGATGGTCACGGTCGTGCAAACACGTTCGGGAGCGGAAACGAGTCTCACACTTTTTCCTTTTGGGTCCCTTTGCGAGTGACGCACTCTCGCGCTCATAGGTCGCAGCGCGAGAGCAACGACGACGAGTGCGGCTGTCGTAATGTCTCACGTTGTTCAGGAATATCAGAGATCGTTCCTCGTAATGATGAGAGACGCATGGAAACGCCCCTCTTTTGGCGATTTTCCTTCTTCCCTCAAAGTTTTGAGTTGCGCCTCGCAAAATTGTTATAATTTTTCTAATGTTTCGGACCCGCTCTTCTCAACGGTGAATCCCTGGAGATAAGATCATCACGCACGCCTCCACGAGACTCTCTCCTACGTGTCTCGCGCTCGCGTAAGAGAGAATATCGGCGAAGATAAATATTAATCCGCGGTGCCAGGACTGGAATAATCGGGACGCGCGCGTCGCTCAACATTCGCGCACACGCGGTCGTATCGGCCGGCCCTGTCCTTGACTTTCGCCGACTATCGGCCCACCTCCTTCTTTCCCACCTTTTTAATAATACTATTCCCGCGTGCACGCTGATGTTCCGCTTTAAACACGGCGTCGTCAGCGTTGCAGTAGAATTAATCAATCGTGCGATGTTATATATATATATATATATAGGGTGTTTCAAATCGACGTGGACAAAGCTCGCGAGAGCGTAGAACGGATTGAAGTAAACAGTAATAAATCGCATATCGTTTAATAAGGAATTAATTAATCTGCATGAGCTGAGGAAGCCAAGAGAAGCGTCCATTTCTGGCCAGTCGTAAGGGATTCGTCACTTTTCCTCCACGGCAATACGAAACCATACATTGCAAAACAGTTTACTCGCGTAAAGGAACTGAAATGGGATGTCATATCACACCTACCGTATTTTCCTGATATCGCATCATCAAATTATCACTTGTTTCAATCATTGCAAAACGCTTCGAATGGGAAAAATTCGCATCCTTGGAAGCGGTTTAAAATTATCTTTCTTTCTTCTTCAACGCAAAACTGAGGTCGTTTCATGACCGACGCATTCTTTACTATTTAACGACACCAAATATTCTCTGATGTGCGCGTGTGTATATGTGTGGATATGTTATATATATATGTATATTAGCAAAAAAATTTTGGAGTCATTAAATACTGCGGGAGATACGAACCGTGGAGTCCTTATCTCTACTGTGACACAAACTCTCTCTCTCTCTCCCTCCCTCCCTTCTCTCTCTCTTTCTCATGCACGCACGCACGCACACCCGAGGTGTAAGTCTGACCGCGTAACCTCTTTGCGGTACATCTTGGGTAATGCTAATAGTGGCGGCAAAATACAGGTTTTAGAGGAAAGATCTGAAAATACACTACTCATTTCAAATCGTTATAACTCGTTGAAAAGAATCGTAGCTGATTAAAAAGAAATTTCTTTTTTAAGGAAAATGTTAAATTTTACGATTACAATACACAATTGAAAAAATTTCGAGAAAAAATCTTCTCCCCGCGCACGCCATCAGAGATGAAGTTTAATCTTCAATTTTGCAAGGTTCACTTTGAATTAGCGCCGTTTCTAGCAAAATCTTTGCAAAGTAACGTGCTTTGAAGTATTTGAAATTCTAATACTTTAAGCTGTACAACGCTTTTGCGCGAATGAACATCGCTCCGCGACCATTTTCGCAAAGATACGTAACTTAGCGGTATGAGACTTTTTTGTTAACCTCAATCTGTTCTATGCCCTCGTGAGTTTTATTCCTGTCGGAATACTCTGTATATTCGAGCCGGGCGTTTGCGAACGCGTTTCACGATCCCGTCAGATATGTGCGATTATTTTTTTTTAATGAATCGGAATTGTGTATGTGTGCGCACGTATATGTGCGTGCGTGTCTGCGTATATATGCGCGCTGTATACACATGCATCCGAGTAAATAGTAATTTGATTAGAACACGACTCTCTCCCCCCCCCTCCCTCTCTCTCTCTCTCTCTCTCTCTCTCTCTCTCTCTCTCGNCTCTTATCTCCATGCTCTCCTCCTTCTTTCCCCTTCATTTCTATTCCTCTCTTCCCTTCTCTCTTTTCCCCTCTTTCCGTAATTTATAAGAATCTACACGAGAATTTTTAAACATTTCCATGACTTACATATATATCTCCTCCCTCTCTCTCTCTCTCTTTCTCTCCCCCTCTCCCCCCTCCCTCTCCTCTCTTTCTGCCTCCGTTAGATTATTATAACGAGACAAAATGTTTGTCTTACTCTAACTTACCGCATCAGTTTCTCAGTGCAGCTAAAAAGAACGGACCGCACGTTCGTTTTTACGAAGTTTTACACGAGTCAAGTTAAAACCACGCCGACAGTTATAACAGATATTATCACATTTATCAGCGTGATGCCAGCGAGTACGTGAAAGTTAGCGTCTCACCTACTGCAACTATAGTTGTGAACAGAAAGGTTGTCCCGTTTCTACAGTGATATCGGAAATTTCGAGAATTAAGCGCCTTATTTTTTTAACCCGTCAGTTCCCAAATGAATTGAAACGACAAATTTCGGTTCCCTCTTAGGAAATCTCATGTTCCGGAACCTAAGGAAACGAAATTGATAGGTTTTCAGTTTTTCAGAATTTTAGGTTTTGGAAGGTTTTCTCGCTTATGTATCGCTTTTATTCAGTGTTAACAGCTTATTTTAGAGTCACCAGTATCTAAACTGAACACTTAGAGCTATGTTATAGGTTAGCAGTGTTATTTCGATGGTTTATAAGTCAAAAATATTGTGCCACCTGGAGGATGCATTGACGGGTTAATATCCATGCATCATGGCTGCATTGCTGGTGGAGTATCCTTGACTCACAGAATAATCAGTAATCATAAGATTGTTTAATATCCCAAAATAATGCTCCAAATTTCCGAAATTTCCGATATCACTCTGTATCTGAAGAATGGGGATCAACCTTTCCACAACAGTTGTACAACTACTACATGCATGTGTGTGTGCTTAAGCGCAAAGGTAAAGTGGCGATCGCCGCTATCTTCTTATCTCTCGTCAGTTTCCTATATACGTATGCGGCGTACACATTTTGAGTCATTCGAGTCTCTCCGGACATGGTCGTTACGACGCGCGGTCGAGAGAGAGAGAGAGAGAGAGAGACGTGCGCGAACTTACCTCCGCGAACCGGTCGGGACGAAATTCAATGAGCGAATGAACGCGCTATTGTAACGCGAAACGTGTTACGAGCGGAAATAAAAAGAGGGAGGGAAAAAGCAGTTCGCACGAACGACCGGAGAGCGCGCTAAAGAGAGAGAGAGAGAGAGAAGCAGAGGGACGCGACGCGTGCGCGCGGGGTTTATTATTGGTACCAGTGGCGTGGTGCTTTCTTGAAGCGGGTCATCGATTTTCTTTAAATAGTTTCGTGGCGGAGAAGGTTAGCGGATAGATAAATCGAACCCTCTGGCGAAGAATAAGACGAACGAGAGGAAGAAATGCGTGTGTAGTAGAGGCAGAGAAGGAGAGAGAGTAATAAAGGAGGCGAGGCGAGGAGGAGAGCGTAGTGCGAGGGGAGAAACGAAAAGAAGGGGGAAAAGAGCGCTGGCTTAAGCCGTGGATGGACTTCTGACGACTTGCGTGTTTTTCAGGTGAACGAGAGGATCGCCATCAACGTGAGCAGCAGTCCTCTGTCGCAAGTCGGCGTGGGCGTCCCCGTGGGGGGTGTGGTAGGCGCAGGAGTGTCCGCCGAGTACACGGTCAGCGGCGGGATAGCCGGTGGTATGGGTGGTGGCAGCGGCAGGGACCGGCCGAGGATATCCCTGTTACCACCAGCCTCGATCACGCCAACGCCGTCGCCGACCGCGCCTGACTATCAGCATGTGTCTGCAGCCAGGAACCCGCGGATAGGCCTTATGCCCGTCCAACCGGATCAGTATTGCAGCCGCACCGCTGCTACTATTGTCATGGCCGGCGATCTGCAGGATACGCCGCCCTTCAAGAAGATCCGTCTGGGACAGCCGCCCCAGCTGGTCCAGCAGCTGCAATCGCAGCCGCAGTCCCGCTGTCAGAGTCTGTCGCCGGCTGATCCTGCCTGCGGCAGCAAGCAGGAGCAGCAGCAACACGTCGTACAGTTGCAGCAACCACTCAGGATAGACACCAGGGTGGGTTCCCAGCGACCGTGCCTTTCAGACTAAACGGGAAGAGATGAGTTTATTGGAGAGTCTTGATTGAAGACGTTGTTTGATCAGAGTTTCAAGCTGTTTAAACAGCACGCAACTTGACATGGTTGACTGGACCATGGAAGTCACCAGTGGCCGGCAGTGGCCTGATGATATCGCTGTATCTCATTAATATACGTACAAAGCCTCGTCCATCAATTGGATGTAACGAATTAAATATTATTATTACGTTCGCGCCAGATCCGAAACCGACCTCGTTCGACTCGACCCGCGTTTCATGCGGAAAAGAGAAACGAAGATCAGTTCTTGGAACGACGCGACGACGAAAGAAAAGAGAGTCGCGCGAGAAGCATGCATGTTGCTGAACAATATCGAATTACGTTCATGATTGTTTTCGTTCTTATTTTATTCAACGTTCCTTATTCACTATTAATTTATGTTTTCACTTGGTCATTTGCGATAAAGGAACGCGTCGACCGGATAACGCAATAACGTACAACTAATACGAAGCCGATGAAAAGGGCTAGTTTATCCACCGCATCTCGTTATTATTTATTTTTAATCCTTGCCTTTCGGCTTCGAATGACTTGATGTCTTTGCTGATTCGAGCTTCAGCCCGAGCACTAAAATAAAAATGGAGGTCAGCGTGACGGTCAATCACGTTATAATTAATCCGGAAAATAATCGTGTTGTAGATAAACAGAATTGAATATGCGTGACGTGTATAAATGTAAGCGAAATAAACGAATTAGGCGGTATATTATATGACTTATTTCTGGTAGGAGCAGCCTGCAGTGGGTGCGTACACGCCGCAGACGGAAGCGATTTCTCCTACGCTGCCAGAACCCAACACGCAAGAGGACGTGAATTACAGAAGCACCAAGGACGATCTCTTGCAGCAAATCGCCAAGGTCGACAGGGAGATTGCTAAGCGAGAATCTCAAATAAGCAAGCTGAGGAAGAAGCTAAAAGAGTTGGAAGAAGCGGCGAACAAGCCTCTGGAAGCGAGCGGTTTGAAACGTCAAGTTGAGGAACAGTCGCAGCAACCAAAGCATCAGTCGTTAGCACAAAAGATCTACGCTGAAAATAGGGTAAAGTTCAGTTTGTGATTCAGTCAGCCTTTCATTTGTCGCGTCGCGAACATCGTCGGAGACAAATTTAAGCCGCTGAGTGAATTCTTCGAGGTCAGGCGACGTCTCGTGCGCTCCAACTGTTGGATAGCTTTTATACTTTTATCGTCAGAATGTTATATCACGAATATATTTATAATAATATTTACAAGGGTACGATTGGAACCTCTCTCTCGCTGATTTTTACGGGCTTTGGATATGTTGTAAAGCATAAAAAAAATATTAGACCTGTGTTTTTAATGGCGTACCTCAATGTGCAGGGGCTAAAACAATTCCTCGAAAATAATGAACTTTTTCATTTTTAGCGAAATATCTCCGAAAATACGAAGGACGTATAAAACTATTTTTGCGGGTATGGGAGAATTAAAAAAACTTGACGCTTTTGCAAAATATAAATGCACTGTTGTTAAAGAGTATAAAATATCACAAAAGTTTTTAACGTGTCCGGCCAGGTTGTGAAAGCCGAAATATTTGTTTAAAATATTTTAAATACAGTAATATTTACAGTCCCTCGTTTTACTCGCGAAAGTAATATTTAACCGAACAAAAGCCGTTAAATTCCAAATATAACATAAGTAAGAACTTCATTTAATATATAGAAGAAGTGTGTTTTCCTTGCGGCGTACTCCGCCTGTTGTCCGGATGAGAATTAAACGGCGAGAAGAAGAGCGAGCCGCTGCACGGATAACATTTTAATTCGATGCGTTCTTGTCAATAGCGAAAGGCGGAGGAAGCTCATAAACTCTTGGAAAGACTGGGTCCTAAAGTGGAACTACCTTTGTATAATCAACCGTCGGACACGAGCGTGTACCAGGAGAATCGCACACGGCATCAGACGTGTATGAGAGCCAGACTGATATCGAGGCTGCGGAGGGAACACTCCGAGCGCACGTCATTACATCGGCAACAGTCGCAGACATACGCCATTCTCGTGCAGGAGTGGCATCGCAAGGTAGAGCGGTTGGAAGCGGCGCAGAAAAGGAAATCCAAGGAGGCGAAGAATCGCGAGTTCTTCGAGAAAGTATTCCCGGAGTTGAGGAAACAGAGGGAGGACAAGGAACGTTTCAACCGTGTCGGCGCTCGCATCAAGAGCGAGGCCGACCTCGAGGAGATAATGGACGGTCTGCAGGAACAAGAGGTATATCGCGTGTACACGCCGGATTATTCGTCGTAGTATCGTAGTAATATCGTAATTTAAAACACGAGGCGGGCGACGTGTGTGTGAGGCGCATTGTGTAAGGGTGAAAACGAAAATGATTGTGGTGAGGACACAAAGTGGTATGGGGAGGAGTAAAGAAAGGCACGTTACTAAATTAGCGTTTAATGGGCAAACGCTGTTCGGTGACAACGATCTTTGGATATTACGTATAGGATATACCTTTTCTCTTTTCGAGTCAAAGAAGTCAGATGTGTTGATCTTTGGTTTATTATACTTGTTTATTTTTTTCATGATTTCTCTCTCTTATGTTATAGTGTTTTGTGATCTTTATCTCAATTTATTGATCATTGCTGTTGGAATGCAAAAAGATTCTCGATAAAAATTTAAGTATATATATATATATATATGTATATACATATACGAGAGTTGAATGTTAATATATTGTTATTCGGATATAGCCTTACCAGTATTGAGATATAGATATCTTGCTTATGGGAAACGGACGTTTTATAGTTTGCTAAATTCAATGCAGCATCGGGTAGTGACAGGTGTGAACCTTTTGCGCTATCAAGTTTCCCCATAAAGGTCTGTTTTATTCTATCTTAAACGGAGGATGATAACTGACAGTTTCTTCCTATCTTTAGACATTTATTTTGCTCTCTTGGTTTCCCACTGTATGCGGACCAGGGGAAGGCTGGCTTAACCAAACTGGATTAATGGATGGAGATGATTGAAAGTTATCATCGGGCTATCATAGATGCACTGGAATAATAAAGTCTCAATTTATTCAGAATTTATTCTAATATTCAATGAAAATGTTTCTCGAATAATATCTCTGCATTGACGGCATATTTTATCGAAATGTGGCTCTCCACCAAACAACTTCTCTTCTGATTCATACCTCATGTGATGTATATTTTTGTGAAAAAGAAATTTTCTGAAAGTACTTTTGTTGTTTCACTTTTTTTTTTGCATTTTCTCGTTTAATTAATTTTTATCTTCGGCATTGTTTTGAGATGAAACACTTCATGGAAGATATCTAACCTTTACTGATCCCTCAGGAAGAAACGTTGCAAGATTTAAAAAATTCCATTAAAGCCTGTCAGGTTAGTAACGTGCGCTTGCTCTCTTCACCCTTGCCTCACACCATACACTAGTTATGGATTCTCGTGGTGCTACCATATTGATTGTAAATGTTCATTAAATGGATGAAAAATTTCGATTACGCTACTGTAATATCATAATAGTTTGAAGAAACACGTTGATCCATAACTACCGCTGAAAATCATTATATTGGATATCACATATTTATATCTTAATATTGATATGCGAAGTTATTAATTTTTGTGTGGAAATTGATTTTTATTATTATTATTAATTTTTGCGTGGAAAAAAAACCCCGAAAATTATGACGAATTCATTCAGTTGCTTGATTAGAAGTTGTATGTGGCGGAAAATATGGGAATACATTGATAATACGATAATATTTTCTAGCGTTAACATTATAAGAAAAGGAGTAACACGTAGAAATAATTCCGTAGATGGAGGATAAGAAAATGCGTTCCTACGCCGTCATACCACCTCTGTTGTTGGACACGAAGCAAAGGAGGATCGCGTTCCAAAATCGGAATGGATTGCTCCAGCCGGAGGAATTAGAAGCTCTGCACAGTGAACGTAAACTGATTAACGTTTGGAGTTCCGTGGAGCACGAATTGTTCAAGGAGAAATACCTCCAGCACCCTAAGAACTTCGGAGCGATAGCTCAATCGTTAGAACATAAGTCTGCTCCAGATTGCGTACATCATTACTACCTCACTAAAAAGGCGGAAAATTATAAACAGCTCTTGCGGAAGTCGCGCCAGAGGACGCGTAGCTCTCGAAATAATCCGAATAACAAAGTAAGTGTAAATACAAAATTGTTCAATGGACAATTACGAATACAAGTCAAATGTTTATATGTAAGCGTGTTCAAGTCGGCGACGCTTGTCTGTGATATTGACTGCGTTCAAGAAGCACAACGGTTGAATGAGTGCTCACCGCTGCTGGAATATTCTTTTAGATCTATTATAGATTTAAAATAATTAAAAAAAAACAAATTATACTTCAATCAAGAGCGATAATTACTCAACGGCTTAATCGCATGTTTTTCGGATGCACTCATTATAACTATATTATGTTGAAGTTAATTTTGATGACCGGATGATTTTGTAAAAACGACAAGTTAATTTGTGAGGGAGAGAGGAAAGGAGAGAAATATTGTTTTTATCAAAATAAATATCGTTTGCCGCGATTGTTCCAGGTAAATAATACTAGCTCCACCATCGGACCTATCGATATTTTAACGACAGGAGTAACGACGAGGTTACAGCGAGAACAACAACAGAAGACCCAGGAGAATCCTCAAAGCAATTCGACGACGACGACATCTACAACTACAACGAACACCACGTCGGCTACGTCAGGTGTATCTTCCGCGACCGTGGTGACTACGACGACGACGACGACGACGACGACGACGACCTCGTTAAGCTCGATAACGTCCGGCGTCAGCTTAACCACGGATTCCGTAACGGCATCAATGACAACGACATCTGTCCTGAACACCATCGCGACGTCGAGCACGTCGGCGACACCGACGACATCCGGCTCGAAGGATTCCAGGGAGGCCGGCAAGGATGGCAAAGTCGACTCGAAAGAGTCCCATCCTATAAAAATGGAGTTCGGTCTGATACCGCAGCTGGACGGGTTACCGGGGAAGGATATCAAAGTAATGTATGTGTGAAGCTTGCCTCTATATTTTTACTAGCAATTAGTGATCTTATATTAGATATTTATTAATGAAATTAGAATAGGACTATATATGTATAAACGTTGTACACAAGAGGACAATTTCGTTGATATAATTGAATGCTTTCCGTTGGTTTGGGGATCAAATGAAAATTCGTTTGCAGGAACGGAAAGAATCCTGCAGAAGATGTGTATTCAGTCAATTATTACTTACTTGCCTCTGTCGAGTCTTAATGCAGCTGAACGTTCATGTGCGAATGTTCTCGGTCGCGGTAAAGATTTGTGTCTACAATATCAGATTTCGTGTTATTGGCCGGATATAAAAGTTACTTACTAGATATTACCGTAAAATTACGAACATTTGCAGTAATTAAAAATTGTTACATTCTGCCAACAACTCTAATATTTAGCGTTTGATTAAAAAAAAACAAATTATACTTCAAACAATAACAGAGGTACTATTTCTCGCCAACGAGTTTTCATCTGATCCTTATTTAATTGCAGAGGAACTGAGGTTTTTCTCTATGTATAAGTATCAGTTTCTTGCCAATAGAATTCATATATATAAACACACACTCACACACACACGCACATTTATTTATTCATACACATAAATTCCGTTGTGATGAATCGATATTTCTACAGCGTTACGCGATTAAAAGTGAGAATTTCGATTTATCTCAAGCGGGTCCCGACAAAATTCCAGTTAGAAGCTCCCAAGTTTTTGTCATCGAGATACATAATATCGAAAAAATCGCGAGGTGTCGCTGAAAAGTGAGACTGTCCAATGCAAGCAGCGCGATTGAAAGGACCGTCCGGGCAACTACGCGGACATTCTGTACACCGTCGCGGGCGTTCACGTCGCACTTTCTCCACCCTTTTTCACAAGTGTTTGCGGCGATATTGATCACACGTGCACCGAATAGAAGAAATAAAAGGGATTGCGTCGCTCATTTTGCGAAACGCATACCAATTGCTCGGATTTTGATCTATATAAAAGCGCGCGCGCGCGCGCGCGCCCGACTGATTGAATGAACCGTATCCATCGGCCGGAAGATATTCATTCCGCAAACACATCCCACTCCGCGAACCAATCTCAATATTGTTCACGCAGCAGGAGAGACGACCCGCGAATACCCATTTAACGACTGCAATACGGTAACGACACGAATATCGCGGAAACCCGGCGATACTACCGGTGAGAAAAAGCAGCTCGATTCTTATCCCTCTTCATTTTCCTTCCTTCTTCCCCTTCTCTTTTTTTTTTACCTCGCGCTAATAGAGATAAGTTTTACTCACTCTTAGTAATTCGATGGCGTCTGAGTGAAAGAGAGAGAGAGAGAGAGAGAGAGAGAGAGAGAGAGAGAGAGAGAGATAGTTGTCGGAGCGCGATAAGCTGATTTCGGGAGCGATGTCGAGGGGACGATATGCGGGAGGTGTGCGGTGGCTGCGGCAGCTAGATGAAAAGAGAGAGAGAGAGGGGGAGGGGGGGGGGAGATCAATTATTAGCAGATTGTAATGCTAATCAACGGTTATTGGTTAGTGGATTATGTTTACGTAGGCTCTCATCAACGTAATTGAGTCGATCGTTGGAAATATGATTCCGCGCGATGAAAACGTCGAGAGTATCGCTCTGCTCTCCTCCTCCGTTCTCCTTAAAGTAATTACATCCGAAAATTAGTTTCCTTAGGAATCATTTTGCAATTTTAACACCATATTGATCGAGACACGATCTACATGTATGTAAAATTGAGGAAAGATTGACCAAAACTGAGATAATCGAGGTCCAACGCTGAAAGTACTCTTTACACGTATCACAGATCACAAAAACAACTTCCGATGTATTACGTTATGAATTTTAGTGATCAGACTATTCTTACGATCTTGAGTGAAAAACGAGAAAACGATAAAAGAGACTTATTGTGAAAAAAGATCATTTGGTCATATAGTTTTCCAGAGAAACTGATGTGTAAAGTGCACAGTTTCTGATGAAATAATTGAAATATACGTATGACAGCTAATCTGTAAAGATCTGGCGATGTACGCGCTAAATTTCCTTTTGTGCTTCTTGATTAGGCATTTCTACAGATAGAATGGTTAAATAATCTTAAAGGTCTAAAATCAGTTCGTAAAAATGCGAGAGATACAAACAATCCGACGTCACAATCATTTTTCCAATAACGTGCGTTTATTTGCGTCTATCAGTATATATTGTTGCTGTGTTCTTTTTGGATGCTTACGTGCTGTAAGCGCTTATAGGCATCGTTTTCTCCGTTTCTTTTGACAATATGAACGCTATATATACATATATAAATAGGACTATATATACATATATAAATAGGACTTTCCCAGATCAACAAATAGTGTCCGCTTCTTTTTCTAATATGTCGTCGAGCGTTATCGTGCTGCAAAGTGACTTACTACGCCTAGTGAACGGTCTTTTCTCTCTATTTCGCTCAACCAAGTGAATTGTTAGTAATACTCAGCGTTAATTATTTGATTGCAACAACTCATATCAGGTTTTTCATGTCCCACCAAAGTAACAAAATTTGCTTTGCGCGAATATTGGGTTTCCGCGATCGATGTCTCAATGATTGGCTAAGGTCAATCCATAATTTTTTTTCTTTCAGTTTTGTCGTACAAAACTGACTTTTCATCGCCAGTAATGGTTTTTGTGCAAAACGTTCTTTATTTTGTATTTTGTTAACAAGAACATCGCCGCAAAGTGGTTCAATTTGTAAGTCTAACGGGACAAAATTATTTATGAGGAAGAGGACGGAAGAGAAATTGGCGAAATGTGTCTTTTTTTTCACTAACGTTAATAATTAATCAAAATAAAATTAAGTCTACACACAGGTGTGTATTTCATATTTTTAACCATTCTGCTAAAATACACACCTATTTGCGGAGAGATTTCACATTTTTTACTTTAATTTTACTTCGATTAGTTATTAAATTTAATGAGAAAATAGGGGCATTTTACCAATTTCTTCTTACATTTTATGTAATATTATGAGCTTGCGAGAACAGTATAACTTTTGCACATCATTTGTATGTCATGAGAATGGCTTTATTTTATTATAAAATGATTCGTGTAGATTTAATTGATGGTAGTTTAATGTGCGTATTAGTGCGAACTTAATAAATATATTCTTTTTTCTTTGCAAGTAGATAATTCCACGTTAGTAGGAGGGAGCTGTTTTACCGGCTGAGGAGTTACGGTTTTAAATTTAATCAAGGCTCCTGAATAGAGGTATCTTTTGAGATACATAGTGAGTCTGTGACATTTCCGACTCTGATTAGCTACGTATAAATATTGATCGTCATAAATTTTGCTTTTTCAATATTTCCTTTCGTTATAAAAAAGGATTTTGTGATATAAACAATATTATATAAGTTATAAACATTTTTTCTGTCATAAGTAATTTGATCCCGCTAGATTGCAAATTGAACACTGAGCGCCGTGAACTCGGGAAGTATTTAATGAAAAATAATTTTACTGTAATATTTTGAAAAGTTTTCAAGATGAACTATACGAATACGCAATCAAAAATAGGGGTTTCCACTAAAGAATTTCTAAATCATTGACCTTAACAATGCTGTTCAATTGCACACTGATATCTTTACGTAATGCGCTACTTAAAACCCTACAACTTCTTTATGGAACATTTCTCTCAAAAAATTGTCAAGATAATCGATTGTGTCACTTAAAATGAAACATCCTGTATATAATGTGTATAATCTCTGCGAGAGTTTTGATGGATTATCATTTAATTCAACGCGCAAACTCCGCACTTCCGTTCGATAGGTGCCGAAGAAATTCAATTTATTTCTGAAATTAACGAGATTAAGATATCGAGTCATGGCTCGTCAAAATATTGTTAATCGTTTGTGTGCTTTGTTACAGAATGGAAGGGAAAGGCCCGATATCCTCGTCTTCGTCTGCGTTAAATACGACGAATGTCTCGGCCATTCAACCGGATTTCAAGGACTCCAGTAAGAAGAAACCAGGTTGCAGGGATACGGGCAGCTGCGGCACTAACGTCGCGACTGGCGGTAGAATAAAGGATAAGAAGAAGGAGAATCACGCCACTCCTATGGAAACCAGCGACGAGGAGGCACCGACGATCGACGTCATCGGTGAGTCTGGAGCTAATTCATTATTTCTTCCGCTTCATGAGTCCTCCGTTAATTCAGACTCGAGTGACACCCCCGTGACACCGTTAGACGCACGTGCGTACATTTTACAATCATTTGCATGAAAACACGATTATAATTCGCAAATTGCGAGCTGTGCTCTCGAGCCATCGGTGATATGGAGCCAAACGAGCGGGCTAAGCGCAAACCGTTACAAAAATACACATTAATTGATAACGTGAAAATTAATAGAAGTGGATATGTTAACGCAAATCGATTCATTAGTGCGAGATTATTTTGGCCTTCGAAGGGTTAATCTAATGTGTTGACAATACGAATTGACAAACTTTCAATTATCATATTCGTTCCATTATCGATACTCTTCTCGGAAAACATCACTGATTTATTTACTTCATTATGTCGCTTTTACGATCGCAATAACGGGATATTTAATAACATTATCGTCCCTCTCTCTTTTCTCGGAGTTTATTTTGCATGTGAATTTGCAGCATTCGAAGAATAATCTCGAAAATATTAGCGTATCGTGTTAGATTGTGCATATTTGGTTAAATTCGAAAATTATTGGCGTGTGCGCATTATCGAAATACAAAAGAATAATCGTACACAAATAAAATCGAGCTTTCTATATCGTAACGAATGAACTTAGCGTAAACGTGCAGAAACTTGTTTAACTTTCGTGTCCGACTCACCAGATTAAAATTAACTTTTATGCGCGCAGTTGTTGTTGTTTTTTTTTCTTCTGCATTAAATTGCAAAGAAATTGGCATTTCTTTTATTCATTACAGCTAACATTTTTGTCATAACTAAATTGCCATACGTATCGAAAGCTCAGTTACAACAACTAATAAGTTACTACAGACGACTTTTGTCGCAGATTTTTATACAATTTGTTGGCCACGAAAAACACGTATCAACGTATACAGTCGTGTAAACTTTCCTCCGATGTTTTGGATGTCCTTCTAGAACAACTTTCCTTTCTGAGATAATGCAAGAATGTATCTTAATTATGTATGAATTAAGTTTATACATATATATATATATGTATATATAATACCAATTTTATCATTATACTTTATATAGCAGTCCGAGTATGATCGCTGATGTAATTCATTCGCGATTAAACACTCGCTGCGAATATCCGTACTCCGAATTTCGCTCCGTGTTTCTCCGCCTTCCCTTCGAGAAGGCCGGAAGAACAATGAGAATCTCGTCTTTGCGAATATTTCACGAACGTTCGCTTCGAGAACGTAGCCGAGGGGAGAATCCGAGAGCGATCGAAGCACTTTGAGGGCGAAGGTGGATCTTTTGGATCGCGCGTATCTCGCTCGGAGCGAGATGTGAGTAGCGACAAGTAGACTCGAGTCAATCGATCAATCTTGCAGGATCTCGTCTTATATTGTTGCCTTATCTAGATTACAATTACGTAGCACGTACGGTACATTATTTCATTAAGTACACACGATCGAGTGCTCACGTTAGATTCAGTATTATCGACAGAGAGAGAGAGAGAGAGAGAGTATCGGGCGCGCTTCCTCGGAAATCACTAATGATGGGGGATACTCGTTGATACACTTCCTCACCCGGACGGGTGTACCCCTTAGAGGGAACGAGGAGTCAACCGTCGTCCTCGTCCCGCGCCTTCTTCTCGTTTCACGGAGCATCGTGGGCGGGCGTGCCTTCGGCCGCCTCTTGCCTCTCCTCGTCATTCGCGTGGCAGAGCTTCCTGTGCTTGTGCACGAAGTAATAACTGGGGAACTTGCAGCCGCAGATCTTGCACGGGTAATACTGCACGTTCAGGTCCAAGAGTCGCACCTCCCGTCTGCCGCGCGCCATCTCCGGCGGTCTGGAGCTGTTAGCCCCGTCCGCCGTCTCGTTCATCCTCGTGGGCAGCAGATGCCGCTTGGCGTGCTTCCGGTAGCAGTACTGCGACTTGAACGTGTGCTTGCAATAGCCGCAGGTGTAGCAGGCGTTGTTGTCGTCGTTGCTGGAGTCACTGGGACTGCGCGTCGCCGTCGGCGGCGGCGGTCCGCCGTTCTCGTCGTTCTCGCTCGAGAGATCCTCGCCGTCCGGCTGCTGGCAGGTTCTCGGCTCGCGTCTTTGCGCGCCGCCGGCCGCTCCGCACGACGAGTAGTTCTCGTTGAGGACCCGGTGAAAGCGCACCGGGCCGTCGCAGCAGGCGATGTCGTAGACGACGGAGAAGACGGCGCCGGAGGTGGAGGAGGTGGAGGAGTCGCCGCTGCCGGTTTCCTTGGCCGCGCCGCTCGTCCCGGAGCGCGCCCGCCGGCGGGACGAGCGCGGCCGGTGGTGCTCCGAGTGCTCCGACGTCGTGTCCCCGTAGCTGCCGTGGTTGTCCTCGCTGGTCGACCTGCGCCGCTGCTGATCGTTGCTCGACGCGGTCACCGCGATTTGCCGAGTCGGCTCCTCCGAGACGATGGGCTGGGACGTCACCGAGTGCGTCCGGGAGACGGTGGAAGGCGAGACGGACGGCGACGACGCCCTCGTCGAGCCGGTGGTCGCGCCGCTCGTCACGGCGAAGGCGGTGAACGCGGCCGCGGCCGCGGCCACGAACGGCAGGGCCACCGTCGACACGATCTCCGGGGTGCGCGAACGGGAGCTCATCCGGGACCGTTTGCGATGTTGGTGGTGTGCGGTGGGCGACGGCGGCGACTTGTTCGACACCTCGTTGACGCTGCAACATTTTCACCGGGTTTCGGCACCCTTTGACAGAAATATCGCTACTTTCGCTTTTTATCGCTGCGATTAATTCATGTATTTCTCTGATCGTGTTATATTTACGCGCACGCTCGTGTCGTGCAGACACGATCTTCTTTACCCGCCGACAGGATTGAAACGTTCGATATCGACGGAACCGTGATTCGGTTGATCGGAAATCCGACGGGGAATAACGAAGCCGATCAGGATCGGGAATCATAAATTAAGATGGATCGCTTGATATAACGAAAGAAAGAAAATGAAGTAAGACCGTCCGACGAGGAAGGCGAATGACAGTGCCGGTCGCAAATTCAAGCAATCGTGTAAGATAACACGGCGAATTTTCGAACACACACGCTGCGAACCTATAATGCGTGCACTGCTCCTGCTTGTCCCTCGCGACGACGTTGATGCCGGATGGCGATTGCATCAGCACCGACGGCGGCATCTGCGGCAGATGCGACATGGCCGGGGCATTCGGCGGATAGAGCGGGGCGGTCGGGGGCCAGCAGAGCGGTGGGCCCACCAGCAGCCTGCTCGGTATGGGTCTCAGTATACTCCCGGCCGGCGACGGCGACGTCGGCATCGGCAGGGCCGGCGGTGCCCTCAGCCTGAGCAGCGCGGCCCTGCACTGCTCGAGGGCGCCCGGCATGTGCAGCAAGTGCGTCGCCAGCAGGACGCTGTACACGTTGTCCAACGTCACCTCCAGCCGTCCGGTGTACATATAGTTGAGCAGGGGCGCGAACGCCTCCCCACCTGTCGGATCAGAGATCGCCCGGGGTCAAAGTGAGGGAGAATAATTCCCGTCGAATTTCGCCTCCGAGCTCGTCTTCACTTTTATCCTCCTCTTCTGCGCGTTTCGCACGCGCTGCTTATACTTCAGCAACTAAGAGTCATTTTTCAAATATTTACCGTGTGCTTCTCGGGGAGATAAGCTCGAGCAACAGTCTGTTTCTACGTTACTGTCGGAAAAGCTGGTGAAACGGAGAAGAATTTATGCATGTACGAGAAAGCTACAACAACTGTAATAATAATATTCTCTATGCGAGGCGATTCTTGAGCCGCGATCTTCGGTACTTTTTCAAACTCTCGCAATGAAATCTCAGTCGTCGTCACGTCGTCGTCGCATTATCAACAAGCGAGATCTTTCATCCAAAGCGACGGTGAACACGCACTCCACTCGGAATCGCAAAAGCGAATGTTTCGCTCGAAACTTTCGATGCATTTGGAATCCACGCGAGTGAATGTCTCGGTCAACCGGAGGGATTTTGTTTCGGAGAAGATGAGATACACAGGGCAATATTGTTATTCGCTCATCGATTTTGAAATATTCGCTCGATCGTTCGCAGAGTGGAAGAATTCAACCTGCGAGTTGAAGCGAAAAGTCGCTCGACATCCGGTTGAGGCCCGATCGTCGCTGTACTTCTTTTCTAAGTGGAATCTCATTCGGAAGACACTTAGAGAGTGCAGAGTGAGATCGTTCTGGGATCACGGTCTCTCCCTCTAAAATGATGAGCGAGTCTCCCACGGCTGAGTCCACAATCGGGGATCGTTGAATCGTCGTGGGAAAAGTGGAGAAGTTCGACGAATCGCGATGAGCGCGTTCCGCTTTCGAAAAGCGGTAAAAACAGCTCCCCCTCCCCTCTCTCCGCCACGCCGGCCGTGTTCAATTAACGGATTGGATTAGATTGGATAATTATTGGAAAATCCCAGAATAAAAGAGATTGGAAGTAGCACTGGGCGACCGATAAAAGTTTGTTAATTATTCAATCTCACTGCTGACTGATTGTTATTATTCGAAAGTACTTCGAAAAATATAACGCGAGTACGACGGACCGCAAGCTGATGCGCCGCGTTGATCGGCGACCGGCTGCGCGGCGGTGTTTCGTTAAACTTGCTCATCGTGTCCAACTAATTAGACATACTGAGACAACGAGGGAGTAAAGAAATGGGAAGAAGAAGTATACGCGTCGCAGGAATCTCGTCTGTTCTCCGGTCGTATAGTGAAAAAAGGATTTGGTAACGATTATCAAGCATTTCATGAAATAATTTCAATAGTTTCAACCGAATGATTCGGTTACGGCGATCAAATTATTTTGAACTCTTTTGTATCTCTGAAAGCGGCTTAGGAACCCACCTGGATTAGCTGAGAAGCCGCATTTAAGGTTTCATCGACTTTTATCGGTAAAAGGGAGTTCAGAGTACGGATCTTAATTACATTTATCATGCAGCCGAATGATTTCGTTACCGCCAAATCATTCAGTTGAAAC